GTTCGCCCCGCATCAGGCTCGCATGTTGAGAGATACGGCACAGTGCGAGATAGCCGCATCTGGCGCGAGCCACGCTCGTCACATGTTGCGACCTTGATGTCGTAACATAAAGGGTGTTTTTTACCACCCCAGGTTTCCGATTAGCAAACACTTTTTTGTTTCTCATGATTTTGCTTTCTTTATCAAACACTTTTTGTGCACCCCTTAATCCAACTTATAGCACAATAGATTGAAGCACTCCCTCTCCTCCTAATAGGACCCTAAATCGTTTGAACTAGATGAAGAAAACGCGCTCCAGTTAAACAGCACTGCAGCGCTTATTCTGCTTGCCCGTTTATACAGGTTTCAAATGGGGGTTCGTAACTTCTTGGTTCAAGTAAGTAATCGTTCTCGTAAGGTTCTATCGGAGACCTCGTGCCAATGCCTGATTCAGCTGGTCCATCCGTGCCATGAACACGTCAGCCCAACCGGTCGGTAACCTCTCTCGAGGACGTTTTGCTTTGCGAGAAATCCCTAACAGAGCTCTTAGTGTCCATTTGTCGTCTCTCCTTCTCACTATATAACCAGCCCGCCGATGTTTTGCTTTGGAGATGTATTCCGCTGGATCGCGAAGATGAGACATTGGTCTCATATCTAAATGCGAAGTCCAACGTGATGTTGAGTGCATCGGTTGACTTCAGAATACGTCTTTCCAGCACTCTGTGGGTTGTCCGAAAAGTGTTTGACGTAGCCACATTGTCAGGCCAGTCTCTGCTGCGTAATAGGGCGCAGAGAGCCCGAATCGAACAGGTGAACTCGGAGCTCTGGGTCCGTCAGCTGGTCTGTGGCTTCCTTTAGGGGCCCGAAAGGGGCCCAAGCTGCTCTTCGCCTCCTGTGTAGTTTTTCATTCAAATCGTTCTCCATCATCGAAAACTCGAGATATACGTAGAAAGACGTGCGTTCGGAGAACCTTTTGATTCCATTTATTGGTCTCGCAGAAAGCGTTCTTCATATACTGTTATGTCCTCGAATAAATCGCAGTCATATCCCGCTTTCCTATTTCGTTCATTTCTTTCGACATCGTTTCCGCTTCAGTGATACTTCTCAAGAAGAAAACAAACCGTGAAAAGATTCGAGAGGAATCTCCACCAACTCCTATATCACTCTCGTTCCATTCCATTGATTTCATCACCCACTGGAAAGCGGCGGTAAACCTTTGACGAGACGGTGTCGCCTTTTCGAACCCCCTTCGAAATTGGTATTATAAGAGGGCGACGGAAAAGCTGTACCGTTAGCAGTTTTTGTAGCAATCGGCCAATGTCCTCACGTAAGATGGATGCACCTCTTGGTTGACGAGCGCTGACGGTATGGCATTAATCTTGACGCTGTCAAACGCTTTCTCATAGTCAACGAAGGTTAGGACGAGAGGTAGGCGGTACTCTCGGCAAA